TTTTACGTGAAATAGTATGAAATAATCGCTCATTTTTATTTCAAATGCAGTAACGAGTGCGTGTGGCGTATCACGTACTATGTTAAATATGGCTCCGCCCCTGTCGTGAAATGAATAACCCGCCCCTGTCGTGAAATGAATAACGAGTTTTGAAAACGTTGATAAAACTTTGTTTATTTTATTTCACTCTATAATTTTTCAAGCGAAATAAAGATTATTTAAAGTGAAATAAATGTAAAACTTAAAACGTTTGCGACATTAAAATAGCGTACTTGATTTGTTTGTTTTGCACGTGCTGTTTGGCGCTACATTGTGACGTCACGTGAACAATACTTTAAACGTCTGTACAGCGTTAACGACTGAATAAAAGATATTGGTGTTCGGATTCATTTTCTTAGTTAGACCATTTTCTTTCATTCTAGATAGTTTTCACAACAAAATTCAACAAAAAATTGTTTTTATTTATCAGATTTCAAACAAAATGGCGCCTTCGATTTTCATTTTTTATACACAGCTTCCGTTATTCTGGTTCCCTGTCCAATTATGGTTCCCATAGACGTGCGCGGGTGACCAGTCTACACATCCGTTTTCAGTCAGAGTTCCTCAGTTTTTATCGTTATCTTTAAATTCGAAAGGTTGCGATGTGTCCAATTCGGTACTTTGGACGAAAGTTTTCAAAACCATCACTTAGCAGGTACTCGCGTTACCGTAAAGCTCGTTTTGCGAGCAGGCCCTTCGGGCCAGCTCGTCGAGCTCGCTAATAACAGACACTTTTTATATGCCCGAAACAATTTCGGGCATATTAGGTTATACCCCCTGGCGTCCGTCCGTTAGCAATTTGGTTTCCGGAGCATAACTTAAGTTTCATTTGGCCCACAATATTCAAACTTCATAGGATGATTGTCCATATAGGGTAGAAGACACCTATTGATTTTGGGGTCACAAGGTCAAGGTCACTATTACCTTAAAACTGAAAACAGTGTCCGGAGCATAACTTAAGTTCCATTTGGCCCACAATATTCAAATTTTATAGGATGATTGTCCATATTGGGTAGAAGACCTCTATTGATTTTGGGGTCACAAGGTCAAAGTTCAAGGTCACCATTACTTCAAAACTGAAAACGGTTTTTGCTCAATAACTTAAGTATTAATCAACCTACAGCTGTAAAATGTTATAGAATGAACAGCCATGTCTAATACAAGACCCCTATTGATTTTAGGGTCATAAGGTCAAAGGTCAGGGTCACAATGATCTTTACACTGAAAATTGTGGTTTCTGGAGCATAACTTAAATTCCATTTGACACACAGTGTTCAAACTTCATAGGTTGATTGTCAATATTGGGTAGAAGACTCTATTTATTTCTGGTCACAAGGTCAAAGGTCAAGGTCACTACCATCTTGAAACTGAAAATGGTTTTCGCTCAATAACTTAAGTATTAATCAACCTACAACCTAAAATTTTATAGGATGAAAAGCCATGTCCAATACATGACCCCTATTGATTTTAGGGTCATACGATCAAAGGTCAGGGTCACAATGACGTTAACACTGAAAGTTGTTCTTTCTGGAGCATAACAAAAGGTCCATTTGGCTTACAGTGTTCAAACTTCATAGGATAAATGCCTATATTGAATCTATATTGGGCTCACAAGGTCAAAGGTCAATATCAAATGACCTTAATTTTGTTAACAGTTTTACAACTGTTAAACTTCATAGGGTGATCACTTATATTGAGTACATTTACTTTATGCCCTAAAAATTTGCTTATATTATGTTATACCCCTGACGTCTTTCCGTCCATCCATGGTAGCATTTTTACTTACAAGATAACAACTTGATGGTGGTGCTTTGGAGTCAGCAACTGTATGTATATGAAGGTTCTTCAGCTATAAAGGAGGGTTGCTTTTTGAAGGAGTTAATACTTTATCTAATTCCCATGTCTTTCACATGCTTCATCCTTACTAAAAAACACACACACTTTCGGGCATACAATGCTTCGCCTAGCGGTGCTCTTGTTTTGTCTTGTTATGGTGCATGTCCTTTACAAAATATTTCACTCATAAATTCTGGAAATTGAAAAAAAAAGTATATACATAAGCACAAACTGATACATTGTAGTCTTTTTGGTTAAATAAATGTAAGTTTTTTCTCACACATTCTAATAGAATATAAATTGAAATTGATAATAACTTAAGACTTTAGATTTCTTACAGTTATTGTTTCATGTTTGAGTGTGTTTTTTTTTAAAAATATTTCAATGATTTTAATTTGACACCACTGTTACACGAAAGCAATGTTTTTTGTTAACTCCTTTTTCATCCCAGATCAATTGTCAAACTTTAAAGTAGAATCAGGATCTTTAGATTAAATGATTTTGATATATATGTCATTTCTTAAAATGTTTTACATAGAATTTTTTACTTATCTGTATGTTAATTTATATTCAAGTAGAAATTAACGTGTAATTTGTTAATTTGTTCATTTTATATAAATTCCAATAAAATTTAAGATATATTATGCACAAACTTTGAAAATACTTATAATTGCTATGCAACCTATTTTTTCATGTAAAATAAACATTTTTATAGCTGCAATGAAAGAATTCAATCCAAAGATGAACATAGTATATCTATAATTCTGAATATTATGCACATTCAAATGCAACCCGGGTCCCCCTACTCACAAGGCAGTGCGATGGAATCTGAGTTTTGACCGTCCATTTGTCCCCTCTTTTGGTGCAAAAATTACGATGACCGTCCCCAATTAGTAATGACCGTCCCCATTTAGTAATAACCGTCCCCATTTAGTAAGGGTTTATGGGGATATATATTTTTACAACCGTGATATAGGATAGTAAATGTAAACAAGGGGTTCCTAATTGCTGTATTGATGCGTTATTAGATAGTACAATATAGATGTTTTATCAAAGATAATCTGTGCCCTCTTATTGTATTTTGTGTGTAATTAAAATATGTTTAAACTTGAACGACCTGACCTATTGAGATATCTTTGCAAATAATCTGACCCCAAAATGTTTACAATTAATTGATTAGTTTTTTATTCAAAGTTAGTCCGAAATCACTAATATACAGTCTAATACGATTAGCTTTTATTGTTAAAACCGTATATATCGTGCAAAATGTTTTGAAGTATAAAGCGTATTTGTGGATAATTTTGTGTATCAAGACGGTGTGTTTAACAGCAATAGGTATGTTTTACACTATTAAAATATTTTCATTTCAAGTTTTTCTACAGTTAATGTAACTTTTGATTATTAAAATAATTTATTTAGCTGACTTAACAAGACGTTATGCAACTGACCTAAACTAGTCAAGTGTGATATTTTTACTGAAGTTGTAGAAAACTATTGAACCAGAGTTGCAAAATCAAATAAAAATGTAAATATTATTGTAATTATGGATTAGTTTTTCTCATAGACACAATGAAAATCTCCGTCAATATACATTCATTTTGTATCCGTACACTGACCATTATTTGGTCAGTCTAATTTATTTCCATTGATTTCCTTTCCTAAAAGGCTTCATTAATACGAGTATAGTCGTGAATGTACACTTAAGTGTCGTTATGTTTCTAGACTTAATTCGTGAATTAGGAGACAGCCGAAATGAAATCATTGGCAAAGTATACATATTACTTGTTTTATGTCACTGAGAGACAAGATAAAAGACTTGATTACATGCACTTGCAGTTGCAGCGTCTCTCACCCTATATTATATAATCGGTGGATCTCAATGCAACATTACATAATTTCGTTAAACAGCAACTAACATTGACTATATTTTGCTAGGGCCACATTTCAATTGTACTTATTTGTTAAATTTTAACAATATGGAGTATTAGCTCTAATGATTATGAATAAAATATACAAGTTTAGTATCTATATGTAGGAATAGCTTCCCCTAGAACTTTTTAACAGATGAAACAGTATTAAAGTCTATGATTAAGCTTTAAATCTGTAGAATAAATCGGTTCAAGGAATGTTTATCTAGTTTCTACTAAAGTATTTTTTTGCGTTTCATCATTCATTATTACACCATTATATTCACGCATCTGTACCTCTCTCGCTGATTAATATTAGAATTATTGATCGCCGGCCTTAAAACGTGTATGTCAGTGCCTTGTTGGGATATTTCATTTTTTATATGATTATTATTAATGCATCAATATTCTAGTATCATCGTAAAGTAATGACATGGGGTGTCATTGCTTGATTAAATAGTTTTAAAACATATTGGATTCCCATGACGTGACATGCAAGAACGATTATAAATAATATATTTGGTAATAATTGTAATGTGAGGCTGAATGGCAACATTAACCTTTTATATTGCATATAACGAAATACGTTATAATATGTATATTATACACACTTCTTCCTTGCTGTTATGTCCTATACGAAGTTGTTTTTTGAATATGTATTATTCGTGTGTATTGTATTATTCTGCTGGAAGTAATAAGTAATCTACTATTGATATGAACAACACGTGTAGACTATAGAATATATATACATCTATATCGTAATAAGTATATACAAATGTACATCGTTTATATCATACATAGACCTACATGGAGAAATATCACTGTGTATATCCCAATATAATATCAAATAACACACAAACAAGCAACAAATACTGTCCTAAATACCCTAGAATCTGGTCATCTGGTCTTGGATCATACACAAAGCCAAGAATCTTTTATTGATAGAAGACTTTTCTATTTTCGTAACGTGACATCGGATAGAGAGATTCCGTATTTGGGAAAGGTTAAAATCGGAGAAACATTCGTACAAGGTTTTCTCAAAGTTTACGATCAATACAACAAAGCTTCACAATGATATGGGAATTTGCAGATAGGAATAAAACGCCTTACATAATATACAGACATAGTTGGTTCACATCAGTGACTAGATCATTAAATGTTGGCACTGTTTTAATGGAAGCGATCGCAGGTTATTTTTACCGTATTATTCGCGTAGATTAACCACAAATGGGTTTTATTGTATATCTAGACATCAATCATATCACTATACAAGTAGTAATGGATTATTTTCATATGACAACGAAACATTAAATGCTATATTATGTTTATTTTGTGTGTGTATATATATTCATTCAGTTTGTTAGTGTATTCTATTGATCAACATTTGGAGTAAAGTACGTGCAGAGTATGAAATGAGGATGTTTCTGAGACAGTTTTCACGCGAGTTCGTTTACCTGTACACTGAAATCACTAGAGCCTGTTTGGGATAACAATGTTTACATAATTAATGCCGATAAAGAAGAACAATTAACTTGCCTTTGATCTATATCTTATGTGCATGCACGCGCGCTTATCGTAGCAGACGAAACATTTAAGCGTTCTATTCACACGTACTTGTGACAGTTGTGTTTTACTTTTTCAGGATCAAAACGGAAAACAATATGAGCAGGAAAAAGTGAGAAATGTGATGTCTTTCATTAAAAAATCATGGAATACAATGTTGTGACCTTAGTAACGGTTACCATGGTAATCATGGTAACTATGGACAGTGTCAGGGGTCAGGTTGACGACTATTCAGGTTCGTGATATTTATATTTTTATGCATGTACCATGTGAGTTAATTTTCATTTGCACAAGTGCATGCATACTTTAAATGATCCACTAAATCGTTTAAAACATAATGTACATTAAGTCATACAAAACTCTGCAATGTACATTAAATCATATGACACCTTATAATGTACGTTATATCATGCATGTATAAAACCATATTATGAACATCAAACCATACAAAGCCATATGTAGTGTATTAAACCATATAAACCATATAATGTGTAAGTAACTTGTATGTTGACATCATTTGGGCTATCTATAGAGTAATAAAACACCCTGTTTGTCACTCTTCTTTAACTAATATAAAATCAATATCAATTCTGAGAAATACCAGTAAAATGTCTAACTACATTTATTGATCAGTGACTCAATTATAGAAGTGATACTAAAACATGTACAAAATGTACAATCAATCAGCATATATATGATAATGTATAAACTTATATATCGGCAAACATTGTATATGAATACTGTTAGCATAACACATTTACAACTAGATCATTTCAAAAGCAAATATATGTATTTACTGCAATAAAATATACACATGCAAAAATGTCATTCATTCATCTGAAAGGAAAAGTAATTGAAACACGCAACAAAGATTGGTATCTGTACGTTAAACATTGTTATATTTAAAACATGATTCAACATATTTTGTACACTATATATGTTTCTCCCAGCTGTCACCAGACACAATTAAGTTTATCTCAATAGGCGCCCACCTGCAATGTCGGTTTTTCTTCAAACGATTTGTGTGTTCCCCAGTGTATATGTTTTGTATTGCAAAAGTTTAATAGATATACAACATATGCTGAATTATGTCACTGGGTCACATTGTACAAAAATACAACCAGAGACATAGATACCAACGAAAGTTGTAAATATCATAAGAAAATATTTAAGATGAATTGGTCTGCAGAATATACTTAAAAGCAATTCTGGAGTAAACGTAATGCTTAAGATGCGTATTGCCGGGAGCAGGAATTTTGGATTTCGGCCAATCAGTTACACACATATGTCAATGATAGTTGGAAAAGAGAGACTTATACTAATTCCGCTACTGATTATTTCTACCTACGTTGGTAATTACTGTATTCTCTTGTTTAGATACCAAACACAAGAGTAAGTAAAGTAGCACATAGCTCACATTTATCTGACGTTTCTATCATAATGTTCTCTGCAACAACATTAGCTGTAAACTACAACATCTCATATCAAACAGAAAATAACATAATAAAAATGACATAACAATATTGTTTTTGTTCTATTCTATTTTTTTTAGCTCAGACAATATAAAAGTTATTATAAAGATATATGCTCACTTTATGACACAGTTTATATATGCTGATTAACGACTTATTTCAAGTATGCTTATATTATATGCTTTATATTTTTATATAGATTCATTGACTGTCTATTTTTATATGCGCATTAATCCATATTTTATAACAGCTTAATATGTTTGTTAAGGTTTTTTGCATGACATAATTCATACCAATAATAGTAATGATAACAAGAAATAATGTCAGTGATGATAGTCATTATGATGATGATGATGATGATGATGATGGTGATGATGATAATGATAATGATGACCAATATGCTTACAGTAATGGAGTTAACAGTGAACATTGATCATGATAACGATGATGATAATGATGGTGAAATACTTTTATCAGTGATGTATAAAGACGATAATAATATTTGGAAATCATAACAATATTTATTAATTTAATTATAGTAACAATATTATCCATTGTGATGACAATGATGAAAATAGAATATTATTGATAATTATGACGATTAAGGTATATGTATAATGATAACTATGATAATTTTATTTATCATATTGATATCTGTAATTACAGTTATATTGTTATAATTAAAATATAAATGAAAGTAAGCAAAACCTAATATGAAAAAGGCAAAGCCTCAAAGCGAGCTCGATGTACTTTTTACGTGAAATAGTATGAAATAATCGCTCATTTTTATTTCAAATGCAGTAACGAGTGCGTGTGACGTCACACGTACTGTGTTAAATATGGCTCCGCCCCTGTCGTGAAATGAATAACGAGTTTTGAAAACGTTGATAAAACTTTGTTTATTTTATTTCACTCTATAATTTTTCAAGCGAAATAAAGATTATTTAAAATGAAATAAATGTAAAACTTAAAACGTTTGCGACTTTAAAATAGCGTACTTGATTTGTTTGTTTTGCACGTGCTGTTTGGCGCTACATTGTGACGTCACGTAAACAATACTTTAAACGTCTGTACAGCGTTAACGACTGAATAAAAGATATTGGTGTTCGGATTCATTTTCTTAGTTCGACCATTTTCTTTCATTCTAGATAGTTTTCACAACAAAATTCGACAAAAAATTGTTTTTATTTATCAGATTTCAAACAAAATGGCGCCTTCGATTTTCATTTTTTATACACAGCTTCCGTTATGCTGGTTCCCTGTCCAATTATGGTTCCCATAGACGTGCGCGGGTGACCAGTCTACACATCCGTTTTCAGTCAGAATTCCTCAGTTTTTACCGTTATCTTTAAATTCGAAAGGTTGCGATGTGTCCAATTCGGTACTTTGGACGAAAGTTTTCAAAACCATCACTTAGCAGGTACTCGCGTTACCGTAAAGCTCGCTTTGCGAGCAGGCCCTTCGGGCCAGCTCGTCGAGCTCGCTAATAATTACGATTATCTTAGTATAGTGGTAATTAATTAGTGTCGGTACATGGTGGCACAGACTACAGAAATTGTGACCAGTCTGACCTACGCAGCAATGTTTTACTTAAACATTAACTCCTTCGTAACTTTAACTGTATATTAAAGGCTATAACAATACAGCTTGTATTATAATTTCAACAAATATTCCCAAATAGTGTAATGATAGCGTTAATTATGATGACATTAATAGATAACATATATAGCATAACGATATCAATTCATAATCTAATTATTGATCTTGCTATAATTAGATAAACACGTGTTCACCAGTATCAATTTGCATAAACTTACCTTACTTTAAAGGCACATTATGCCCGAGAAATGAATATGAACATGAATAATTTCTTATTTCTTTAGAAAGGCCAAACATGAGAATTATAACGTTAAGAAAATGAATTTAGAGAATGTTAGATGCTTGTTACCTGAATCAAAAGAGCGCTAACTTCAAAAAATTATTTGTCATAAAAGTAGCAAAATGTATTTTGACTTCAAAACAAAATACTAAATCACTATAACTGTACTAATTGCCAAAAAAAAAAAAAAAAAAAAAACATCAGAGGAAAAAGAAGGTTACGATAATTGGCAAAATGAGTAACTTTTTGAAAACTATAGTAGTACACCAAATGTAACATGCTTTTGAGAAATAAAAACAAAAGCATTTCTAAGGCATATTTGATCAAACGAAAATAAGAAACCTGAGCATCATTTCATAATTATGCACATTTTGTTGTTTTGGAACAGTGAAGGTTTTTTTTATCTTATATTCTTATCATAAAATTTCATGTGGGTATGTTATTCGGAATACATCGGTTATTTACATTTTGCTTTGCCTTCAAAAAATGAAACACAAATGTTGTTAACTTTCACAAGATACAAACAAATAAATGATGTGGTTAGCATAATTTGTATTAGACGTATTCTTTATATGGTGATGTGAAATGTTATGCTTCCATAATATAATTATTTTAAGCAGATCTCAGCATCATATGATGTTAAATAGAACGACTGATCATTTTTATATATTCGCGTTCATATGTGGAAATTTATTAAAACATCTTTTACTTAATGATTTTAAGATTACACGGAATCGATACATGTTCTTTTAAACATGCTACAGTCACAGTGTTAAAAGATACAGCACACGGATTTCAAAACAACATTGAAAGCTCAAATCCTTTGTAATCGATAACAACGAATTCCATCTCCGTGTCCCAAATGTATCAGCACACCGCTTGTAATTGACTACTAACCATATGTAGACGGAAATCTTTGGATTGTTTCCGGAAAATCTGATCATACGCTTTCTCAAAAGAAGTTTTTATTCTCAAAAGACGCATCGCAATTAGATTTTGTTAATGTTTAATTCATGCCGATCTATTGGAATATAGAATGATTCTCAAGTTTTGAGAAATATTTAGATTTTTTCTGGCCGGACAACCCTGTCTGTTTACTGATGTGAGGCGAGTTATTAACCTAAATGATTCTTTTAAAGCATTCTATTAAAATTTAGCGAAAAGAAGAAAACATCTTGATAAAATGAGAGTACAAATTCACGTAATGACATCGGATTTACATAACTTTTACCATTTTAAGTAAAAGAATATAGCACAGTCTTTAACAAGACTTATTTGTGGAACAGTATAAAAAATGCATTTTCTTTTTCTTCTTCTTATTTTATGCATACTGTAAAATTGTTGCTGTTGATTCTTTTGAGTATTCATATATTGAATGAATGTCCTGACTTAAATAAACTTTAATAAGCAATTCGTTTTACAGGATTTTGTTGATAGTACCCACCAAAAACAAGTTTTTGTTCATTTTCTTTCTTTTTAACGAAAAGAACGGTACAATCAGCGATCACTAGAATAAGTGGTAACCCTAGCCACTGAATATTCTTGTTGTTGTTATGTTTATTAAAGGCTACGTCTAAACACCTCTTGTTCTTGTAAGGGAAAATAAAACCTTTGCATGCATAATACTCTTCAAATGTACCAATGCACTGAAATTTAGCATACATGTATATGTTTATAGGATGTTTATATTGCATATAATGAGATTCAAATAAATAAACTACAATAATATAAAACAAAATTATAAATTTTCATTTAAAATCACGCCAAAGACTCGTGTTTAATTTTTTTATAAAATCTATGCACGTAAGATATTTGAATGTCAAATAAGTTACAAAAGCGATTAAAAACGCAACGATTGTTTAATGTTATTTACTTGCGCACAAT